GAAAAATGGTCAAGGGAATCCCAATTCCAACCGTGTAATTGGCAAGACCCAGAAATGTCACAATTCACTTCCCTGCACATCCCAATGGACACTATTTATGCACATGGCTATAGCTAACTGTAAGTGGAAGAAGAATTACAATCTTTATTATTGACTGGCACAACTGGCTGATCCCCACAATTGCCAATAAAATCTGCCGCCACACACCTTGATATCTCTCTTTTTGATATTTCACGTCAAAGGTAAAACACCTCACTTCAGCAATTGTAGTGCAAGGACTGTATCTTATAGTTTGAAACATTTAGAAAGCTCAGTACAGTTTTGTAGAGCATTTTAGCATGTATTTCTGTATGTTAACCTTTGTAACTTTCTTTACTGGATATTGTACTATTCAAATTAAGGTAGAAAGTCATTCCAATCATGAACTTGACATCACAGATGTGATATACTGATGCAATGAGAATGCATGCAATGAAATAATTATCACATGTTACATAACTTTTTAATGTTAATATATGTACAAGACTTTTGAGGCACAACTCACAATGTTAAATATGATCGATTCTTCAAAATGCTTCTCTTTCACACATCCATGGCATTATTTAAATATCTTTTGGAATTTCATTTTCTAGTTTAAACATTTTTTAATGCCCTAGTCAGACACTATTCAATATAGCTTTCTGTGGGGACAGAAATGTTCTAGAACTACACTGACCAATATGGTAGATATGGAAGCTTTTGAGTACTTGTGATGTGACTAGAGTGACTAAGAAACTAACCCTTAAACTTGATTTCATCTTAATGAATTTAAACCTAAATACGCCCATGTGGCCAGTAGTCACCACATCACACAGCACAGTTAGTCACTGCCTGCTCCATCTACAAACTTATTTCCACTATATCTCCTTTACTGCATAATATTACTCCTGAAACATGTTCAGATGAATTTAGGTACTTAACGTTTATGATATGGTGCTTTACTTCTTAGAGGAGAAATTCTGTATTTTCAATGCATCTGTATTCTACCTTTAAAAACATAATCACTATGTAATATTTACTAAACACAATATATGTCTGGCACTGTTTTTGGCCATTTATATGTGACATTTTATTTCATTATTACAAGAAACATAATTATCACCATTTTGTAGATAGATAAATGGACAAAATCACAAGTTAAAATTTTGCCTACATCAAATAGCTAGTAGGTGGCTGAGTTAGGGTGTAAATGCCAAGCAAACTGGCTTCAAACCTCAAACTCTCTCTATTCTTTACTCTATCATCATTCTGGACAGTGAGGTTTTCATCAGTACTTCTCTTTATTCAAAATGCATCACAGTGGGTGTTTCTGAAAGCTTATTTGTGTGTGCATAATGTCAGAAACTATTGCCTCTGGCAAGAGGTAAGAGAAAAGAGCAGGCAATTTCTCTTCCTTTTCTCTCTCAGTTCACTGAGCAGCATCTGTGTTTATAAAAAAAATGATCTAACATGTCCCCTACCTTTGCTTGCACTGGGATCTTGTTTTATCAGAATGATACTAAGAAAATTAGTAAAAATAAGTGATCATGAACAGGTGCTGTATGCTTGCTCCTATTATTACAAAAGATTATTCAAATTTTTCTCAGTAAACTAACAGAATTCTGAAGTAGTCAGGATCAATTATTTTCAAAGGGCTACAATGTTCAGATTTAACTCAGGTCAATTATCTGAAGTTAAAATTACTTAGAAGCATACTGCCCATAATTAAGTAATCTCACCTACTAATATTACAGAATAAGGTGACATGAAATCTGTCATTTTAAGTATGCCCCTAAGCCTTTTCCAGATTGCTCATAAGATTTCTCATTCTCCAGAGAAATGCAATCTCAAAGAAATAAATGTCTCTGTCAAGTCACAAGTAATATGAGCACATGATGGAAAAAAATGGAATTTCTTATTCTCATAAGGGATATTACAGTTTTGTAAAATTGACTTTATTTCTTGTTATTTAAGTTCTCATGCTCATTTTAGGGTTTGCCTTTCTGATATAAAGGGAAGGTTATGCTGCCTCTTAGGGAGGTGGGACTCAGAGGCCTTTGGGGACCAGGAGAATATTTTTCATATGAAATTCTTTGTCACAAAATGCTAATGTTGGTGTTCTTGTCTTTATGTCTATGCATTCTTTAGCTATGAGGATAACAGACCCTTCATCAAGTAAGAATGACCTGAATGGCTGATAAATCCCATTTATCAGTGTGGTCCCATGAACCAGCTGTCAGATCTGTACTAAAAAGTCATTAGAGCTTCTGTCATGCACATAGAGGCAGAAGAGCAAACTGTGCAGGAAAAAAAACAACAGGCATACAACTTCTTTGCAGAATTAATATGCTGCAGGTGTACTACCAAAAAAATTCTGCTTCACCTTTTTAATTGGACGTCACCTGCTTTCATTGCCACAATATTAGCAGCTCATGTGGTACAGACTTATTTTACTGTTGATAACTTTCTCCTTTTGTTGTGATGTGTTCCTCTGTACTGCATCATGTCCTCATTTCTGTTGTTCAGTTGGACATCATCTGAAATTATTTTCTTATATTTTCAAAGTGATCTATGGGTATGAAACTACCCAATTACAATTGATATTAATGACTTTCTATATTACATACCCCAAAATGGGAAACATGCTTCCTTGTAAAATTAAATTTTACATGTTTAATATTATTGTTCAGTTTAGCACATCACTTGATTAATTATCTAATTGTTTATAAATGTACTTCTAAATTTCTGAAGATACAAGTCTGTACTAATCAAATAAAAATGAACATTAATGTTAATATTTGGGGTTTTTTATTTGAGCATTTTAACATTATATGTCCTGCAACAATAAACACTTAAGATTGGCAACCTCTGGGTGACCTTGTTCTAGACTTTCAGTTTGTTCTTCTGGTGAAGAGTCCTTTGTTTTCATTTTCCTCAATGCCATTTCACTTATTTTTTCATGCACTTGCTTATTTTTTTTCCTGAGAAATTGGGCTCATTGAAGTTTTATATTATTAACTCCTGGGACCATAATGCATTTTCTAGTGGATAATAGCAGTTTGTCTGATTTAATGGCGATTCTTCCCATTTTTCCTTTTTTCCAATGTCTGTAAGAAGCTGAGAGCTTTACCGTGAAAGTTCCCATATTTGTATCTAAATTCTAGGATAAAATATGAATATCCAAGATGCTTTCTAAAACATAAGCCAACATGCCACATACAACTGCAAGCCTCCCTTAGGTATTCTTTATTCAAGAATGTTAATGTTCTGGCCCTGGCTGGTGTAGCTCAGTGGATTGAGCACGGGCCTGCAAACCAGACAATCATGGTTCGATTCCCAGTCAGGGCACATGCCTGGGTTGCAGGCCAGTTCCCAGGAGGGGACACAGGAGAGGCAACCATACATTGATATTTCTTCCCTTCTCTCCTTCCCTTCCCCTCTAAAAATAAATAAATAAAATCTTAAAAAAAAGAATGTTAATGTTCTGAATTACACATGGTAACTTCAGTGGATCTTTAAATCTGAAAAACAGTGGCTCATGTAAAAGAAAAATGGTAAATATTAGAGATTAATTTGGATAAGGCTTTTCTAATACTTGACTACTTTGGGACCATATCTTTCTTAAGATGTAATTGTCTCTGAAAACTTTATTAAACCCAGCTTCAACTGTGGCAAACATAATGTGATTTTGTATCTCTTCATTTTGCAAAGTTTAAATCCCCATAAATAGTTCTCCCTCCTTTAGTGTAAGTGGAGGGCAGTAGTCTGGTGAAAATAGACATTAGTGTAGCCTATTCAAGAAAGGGGTGTGACTGGGAAAGGCAAGGTGGGGTGTTTTCATGAGTGTATAGCAATCTAGACTGGTTTGGTCCTGTTTGCCTATGGACTTCGCAGTTGAGATGTATTCCATTTTCAGTTATTGATTTCTTGTCTATTGAAAATATTAATTTTATATTGATAGTAAATACATAACACAGAATCACAAATATATACACTTTTGCTACTGGTTGTTTATTGTGAATGGCAGCTTGGAAGAAACTAAGGGAATGGAGTGCAATTGAGAATTTGTCTTCCTTTCTAGACTGCTTTGTTCATACCACTCCATCCCCATTCTCAGCTTCATAGTCTTCCTTGAATTTACAGACACTTCAAAGAGGTAAAGGTGCCCTGAGCCTTTGAGCTTCTGTTCAACAGAGCTGCCAATGACCTGATTTCCAAAGTCTAGTGCAACATTTATATATTTATCTATATATGAATATATGTGTATATATGCAGGTATATATATGCATGTATGTACATATATGCATATGTGGATGTATATGCAGAGAGAGAGAGAGAGAGCAATCAATCCAAAGGCTGAAAGAAAGCAGATCATGACCTAGAATGGAGCTATTTTTTCCCCATCTGCTATACCTCACACACATTCTACATAACTATGGTGTCAGATGAAACTTTTAAAATTCATATATGTATTCCATGTACACACTGTTCCTTTCAAGAGTTCTGTGTTTATCAGCAAACACTAAAATTTTTATGGAAAAGAGGAAATATGGAAAAATGGGGCAAAAGGGTATTGGTTGAAGCACTAATGGAAAGAGACCAATCAAACAAATGTCATTATACCAATGAGACCAGTGGAGCCGCTCATAGCTTTGTAGACTTTTTTCCCTTGCCATGCACCCTAATTACATCTCCATATCATTTACATGTGTGTTGCAGATACATGAATAATTTAACAGTACGAATCTGCTTTGGCTTAAATGAATTTCTGTGTTCATAACATTTTCATGTATATGTCCTCAAACTTGAAAACTTGCATCCCCATGAAAACGTTAAAGTACTTACTACCACTTGTCTTACATGTTCTGTGAATAAAACTTACTGTAACATTATTTTTTAGTGTCAGTTCTCTTGGTATGATATGATTGTGTTAATTAAGGGCCAATTATTTGATAACCTTTAATTTTCTTTTCTCTCTACAGGTCATGGGTTATAGGTGCAATAGCTCTTCTCTGCCTATTAGGACTGACCTGGGCCTTTGGACTCATGTATATTAATGAAAGCACAGTCATCATGGCATATCTCTTCACTATTTTCAATTCTCTACAGGGAATGTTTATATTCATTTTCCATTGTGTTCTACAAAAGAAGGTAAGCTAGATTCCTCTATTTAAGAATAAATGACCTACCTCCTATGATGGCAAAGCAGCCATAACAAAACCATTCCTGATAGATTTGTCACTAAGAAGGCGATTACATCATTGGTTTAATCTTGAAAATAGTAAGGACAAAACAGACACAAAATATAAGCATAGTAGTTGGTATATGTGGTTAACCTAAGAAAACAAAATCAAAATATTATTTATTTGAACAGCGCACAAAAATTATATTCTTGTAGACTTGAATTTATAGTCTTTAATATTTTTATTGGAAGATACCTGAAATTGCTGTAATAGGAAGTAGCTTTTCTAAGATGTTATGGAGTCATGGTATATATGTGCATATACATATATACACATTACATATAAAATTATATATACATATATGTGTCATGACATAAGATATATATTAGTTTCTTTAAAACTAGTTTTTATATACTAGAAAATATATATTTCTAAACATTTTATGATATACATGTCATTTCTATTTTTTGAATGAATGATACAGTACTTAGTAATGGTCTCTATTTTCCTTCCAAAGCATCTTTTATACAATGCAGGGATTGAATGATGTAGAATGCAATAAGTAATTTTTTACTAGTATACTTTTGTGATTTTTGACATCTACAGGACCTAAAAATATTTATTGTCAATGTTAATTTTAACAACTAAATACTGTTGTTGCATTTTTAAATCTCAAGATATACTCTTTAACTCTATTAAAAATTTGGTATTCATACTTATGATCAAATAGACCCCTAGCTAAGACTGTCTGGTCAGAATCCTAGTTCCTCCATTTAAAGTGTATGTGACTTTGGCAAGGTAATTAACCTTTATGCTCCAGGTTCCTCAGGTGTAACATGGGGCAGTAATTATGAGACATTAAGAGGTGGCTCTGAAAAGGAAATGGCATTTTTTCTAAGATACAAATAAAAATGCTTAATTTTTTTAACACAAAGAAAATGAAGAGTAAAGACGTCTTTCTCTTTAAAATTTTGGTTTGAGAGTCTAGCGGAATGAAAAACAAAAGTTGAAAGGGAGCCTACAAATGCATGACGCTGGTATAGCTTGATTGTATTTGATGTCCAGGTATAGATTGTGACCCAAAGCCAAGTCTAACGTTTTTAGTATATGTAACTTATTTAACATAATGGAAAAAAAATGAAAAATGTGTAATCAAGCTCAATTTTGTTATTCATTCCTTAGAACAAAGTTTAGAAAACTACAGCTTTTTGGGCAAATTTATTCAGCCACCTCTAATTTTTACAGCCTATCAGTCAAAAATGACTTTTATATTTTAAATGGTTACATTAAAATTTAAAATACGTACATAACAAGATCCTTAGTTTTGCCTCTTGGCTTACAAAGCTTAAAATACTGATTGCCTGGCCATTCATGAAAAAAATTGCCAAGCTTTTATATAGAAGCTTACTTTTATGTTTTATAATAACATGTATTAACATATTGTTCTTTCATTCATTCTGTGTTTGGAATTTTTCAGTTTTTGTGACATTTTTATTGGCATCAAGAACACAGCATAATCAAAGAACATGAAGAACACAGAATCATTTTTCTCCTTTTTTCTACAAAAAAAATGTACTTTTTAAAAAAATTGCAGAGGTGGTCTTAGGAGATTTTTATTTTATTCTTTTCTTTTTTTAAATTTATTAATTTATTTATTTTTATTTTATTGATTATGCCATTACATTTGTTCTATTCCCCCCTTCATTCCCCTCCACCCTGCCATTCCCCCCCTTTAGTTCATGACCACATGTCTCAAGTTCTTTAGATTCTATATTTCCCATACTATTCTTGCCCTCCCCCTTATCTATTTTCTACCTACCATCTATGCTACTTATTTTCTGTACCTTCTCCCCTCTTCTCCTTCTCCCATTCCCCTATTGCTAACCCTCCATGTGATCTTCATTTCTATGGTTCTGCTCCTGATCTAGCTGTCCTCTTAGTTTGCTTTTTTGTTTTAGGTGTGGTTGTTAATAACTGTGAGTTTGCTGTCCTTTCACTGTTCATATTTTTTATCTTTTTTTTCTTTAGATAAGTCCCTTTAACATTTCATATAATAAGGGCTTGGTGATGATGAACTCCTTGAACTTGATCTTATCTGAGAAGCACTTTATCGGTCCTTCCATTCTAAATGAAAGCTTTGCTGGATAGAGCAATCTTGGTTGTAGGTCTTTGGATTTCATGACTTGGAATACTTCTTTCCAGCCCCTTCTTGCCTGTAAGGTCTCTTTTGAGAAATCCGCTGACAGTCGGATGGGAACTCCTTTGTAGGTGACTGTCCCCTTATGTCTTGCTGCTTCTAGAATTCTCTCCTTCATTTTGATCTTGGCTAATGTAATGATGATGTGCCTTGGTGTGTTCCTTCTTGGGTCCAAATTCTTTGGGACTCTCTGAGCTTCCTGGATGTCCTGGAAGTCTATTTCCTTTGCCAGAACGGGCAAGTTCTCTTTTATTATTTGTTCAAATAAAGTTTTCATTCATGGCTGTTCCTCTTCCCCTTCTGGTACCCCTATAATTTGGATGTTGGAACGTTTAAAGATGTCCTGGAGGTTCCTAAGCCTCTCCTCCTTGTTTTTGAATTCTTGTTTCTTCATCCTTTTCTGTTTGGTCATTTTTTTCTTCCTTCTGGTCCACTCCCTTGATTTGAGTCCCAATTTCCTTTCCATTACTATTGGTTTCCTGTGCATTTCCATTCATTTCAATTAGTTTAGCCTTCATATGTTCCTCTAATTTGTGACTAAAATCAACCAGTTCTGTGAGCATCCTGATCACCAGTGTTTTGAACTGTGCATCTGAGAGTTTGGCTATTTCTTCATCGCTTAGAGTTATTGGCTCTGGGGCTTTGACCTGTTCTTCTTGAGCCATAATGTTTTGTTCTGTTCGTGCCTGTTAGGTATGAGGAGCAGAGCCTTAGGTGTTCACCAGGTCAGGGCCACCCAGGTTGCTGGTTTGTGATGCTGTATGTGGGAGTGAGGTCAGAGAGGGAGCAATAGCAGTCCTCTCTACTCCCTCCCCCCCGCCCCCATCCACCTTACTGCTTGCCCCCACCCCCCGCCTGTTTATCTGCGTGGGAACGAGGTCAGCCTGCCGCCTTGTGCTGGAGGCTGCACAGTCTGTCTCAGTGTTCGTCCCTTCACTGGTTTATCTGCACACAAATGTGTGCAGTCAGCCAGCTGCCCCACACCTTCACTGCGTCCACCCTTAGCTACCCTGCACCTGGGATCTGCGCCCTTGGCTGCCTGCATGCCTGGGTCGGGGATCTTTTTGGCCCAACCCTCTCTGCTGCTGGCTCCGCCCCTCTCACCACTGGTTTAGCTGAGCGGTTTGTTGTTGGACTCCATATTGTTCAATTTTCTGTAGCTTGGCTATGTTTATTGTTGCTAAAACTTTATTGTTTTTAGATTTGGTTGTGTGAGAAGGCACAATGTTTCCACCTACGCCTCCATCTTGGTGGAAGTCCCCCTTATTCTTTCCTTTTAGATTGAAATATAATTAAAATATATCATTCTATAAATTTAAGGTTTATAGTGTATTAATTTGATACACATACATGTTGCAAAACGATGACCCTTGGAGTGTTAGCTAATACCTCCATCTCCTCACATAATTACTTATTGTGTAGAACATTTAAGATATCTTTTCTTAGCAACTCTCAAATATATCATACTGTATTGTTAACTGTAACCATCATCTTGTCCATTAGATTCCCAAACTTGTTCATCTTTGACCTAGTTTATATCCTTTGACCAATATCTCCATGTCTTCCCATGCCCCAAACCTCTGGTAACCACCTTTCTACTCTGTTGCTATGAGTTCAGCTTTTTTAGATTCCACATATGAATGAGGTCATACTTTTTTTTGTCTCTGTCTTATTTCATTTAACATAATGCCCTCCAGGTCTACCCATGTTGTTGCAAATGACAGAATTTCCTTTTTTCTTCTGGCTGAAAAATATTCCATTCTATACATGTACCATGTTGCCTTATCCATTCATTTATTTATGGACACTTTGGTTGTTTCCATATCTTGGCTATTGTGAATAATGCTTCAGAGAACACGGGAGTGCACATATCTCTTCAAGATCCTGATTTTTTTCCGGGATATATACCCATAAGTGGATATTGCTAAATCATACGGTAGTTCCTTTTTCTTTTATTTTGTGGGAAATCTCCATACTGTTTTTCATAGTTGTGCCAATTTTTGTTCTCACCAACAGTGCACAAGGGTTCCCTTTTCCCCATATCCTCACCAACACTTGTCTCCTGTCTTCATGAAGATTACCATTCTAACAAATGTGAGATTTCATTGTGGTTTTGATTTGCATTGCTCATATTAGTGATTTTAAGCATCTTTCATATTGGCCATTTGTATGTCTTCTGAGAAGAAAATAACTATTTGTTTCTTCTGTCAATTTTATTAGTGGATAGTTTTGGGATTTTACTATCGATATGTATGAGTTCTTTATAAACTTTGGATATTAACCCATTATCAGATATAGGATTTGCAAATATTTTCTGCTGTTGTATAGATTGCCTTTTCTTTTCATTGACTGTTTTTTTTAATTGTATAGAAGCATTTTAGTTGGATGTAATTTTCCTTTTAATTTTTGGTTTTTGTTATGCTTTTGATGTCATATTCATAAAATCATTACTAAGACCAATGTCCAGGGGATTTCCCCTCTGTTTTCTTTACTCTTAGGACTTTATGGTTTCATGTATTATGTTTAAATCTTTTAATCCATTTTTACTTAAATTTTCTGAGTTGTGTAAGATAGGAGTTCAATTTTATTTTTCTGCATGTATTTATCCAGTTTTCCCAACATTATTTATTGAAATAGTTATTTCTTCCCTACTGAGTATTTTTGGGTTCATTGCCAATTATTAACTATATACACAAGGCTTTATTTCTGGACTCTTTATTTTGTTTTCATGTGCCTATTTTTATAACAATGCCATACTGTATTACTATTATAGCTTTATGGCATGCTTGCAAGTCGATAAGTATGATGATACCTGTAGCTTTGTTCTTTTCAGAATTATTTTGGATATTGTGGATCTTTCGTGGATCTGTACAGATTTTAGGATTTTTTACTAAGGCTGTGAAAAATACCTTTGAAATTTTGATTGCTTTAAATCTAAACATGGCTTTGGGTCTTATGTATTCTTTACATCAAAATTCTTTTAGGAGGTTTTTTTAAAACCATCTGATTGAATTTCAGCAATATGCTCCTGCCACTGTAGTTGCTAATTTGTTTTCATCAGAGAAATATAAAATATTCTTTTTGTGAGATATTTTGGTTTATAGGATCCAACTCTAACTAAAATCAAACTCTGAGTTGTCATTTGTTTATCAAAGTATAGATTGCATGTTTGCGTCACTAGTATTTCCTCTGGTGACATTAAAGTTGTCAGTTTTTCTTTCGTTATGCATTCAATTATGTGTTACATCTCAGAGGGTCTCATGATTATTTTATTTCTGACCTGAGTATCTAAAAGAAATGTCCCATTGGTCAGGCATATTTTCTTTCCCATCTTCTTATTCTAAAACAACCTCATATTGAAAGAGTAACATATAATACCTGATTGGAGTAAAATGGAATATCAGGTGGATTACAGTATACGAATGATTGAAAAATCAAATAACTTTTATTGTAATCTAATGATAAATATCTCATGGTCATGGTCCAGTGAGTAATATAATTCAGTGTGGGACCTAGCATCACTAGATATCTTGATTTGCTGGTTGTTTATATAATCAGCTCAGAACATTTAAACTTTGCTGGAAAATGTAAATAGTCCATGATGAATTCCTGTGGCATATTTAATTTTTCTGCCTTTGTAACAGGAAGGGAAGTGGTTCTTTTTCTCTCTCTTTTTTTTAATAATATTTATCTTAGAGGGGAAGGGGGAAGAGAGAGGGAGAGAAACATATTCCTAGACCTGTTCCAGGCCTCAATCCACTGAGCTACACCAGCCAGGGCTCTTTTTCTCTTTATTCTCTCTTTCTTGTCTCTCTTCTAAAATATTTTAGATTTAAATCACTTTGTAAAAAAAAAAAACAAAACACTTTCTCATCCAAAAAGAATATTCCTTGTTGAGTATATTAGGAAAACAAAGTAGGATGTAGGTTATGATCAAAGTTGAGGTTCTTGGAGATGCTCGTGAATTCATTACAAATTCTAAACTGTGATTGATAGTACCTACCTTTGAGGAGAGGTCATTTTAAGCTCTGTCAAATCTAATTAAAGCAGTACTCCTTATTTTTTCCAGATACAGAGAAGGAAATAACCTAATAGGTTACTTTAGTAATAATGGTATTAGTATATAATGCTTTATTCAGTCATATATTAATATTACAAATGTGGTCTCTGAGAAAGAATTTTCTGACTATAATGCATCTATGAATTTTGGATTTTATTCACATAAGACACATAGTTTAACCTATTTGTCTTTCAGGTTACTTTTATTACTTAACATTTTCATCATTACTTATCTGTAAAATGTAGGTAATGATTATTTTCCAGAGTTATTATGAGGACAGGGCCTAGCATAATTCCCGTGACTTCACGATCAAAATTAATAAGTTTCTTTATCCCATGCTCCCAAACTCACACATGTCCTGGGCACATGCATGTGGGTCAGGCTTGTTTATTAAAAAAAAAAAAACAAAAAACATGAATTGGCTTGTACACACTGAATACAAATAATTATCTCTAATTAGTAATCAATGTAGCATGGAAGAGATTGATTTGAAAACAGATCAGTATCCTTTGACATAGATTGAAGGATATATAATTTGACATTGCATTCCATAAAGAGGCCTCACCTGGGTGCAGCATGCCTCTCCAGTTTGCTCATGCCGTCCTAAACACCTGGAATGCCTTCCTGTCTCTTGTCAATTTCTTCTTTTAACTTCATCCTCTACACTGGCTGATACCAGCATAGCTGTGGAAGATTCTCGCAGAAGTCCTTTTCTGGAAGCAGCCTCTCTTGGTCCCCCTGCCTGTTGTCAACAGGCCCTCCTTCACACTTTGATTCGTCTGACTCCCTGTCATTGTCCCTATCACAGAGGAACCACTTAGTATATGCATAACTCCTTCCGCTAAGTCTGAACATACTCGGTCTCCGGTGTGCTATAGCTTTAATAGAGTAAGCTTTAGGATATTAATGCATAAGATTTTAGGTTTGATCACTAATTTTAATATATCACTCATATGTTATTTTGGTTTTAATTAGAAATAACATTCCTCAAAGAGCACATATTCATTATTTGAAATAAAATTACATTGGAATGTTACATTGCTACAGTTGTGGGATGTATAAACTTGTTTGAAATCAATGTATAAAAAGCTAAGAACAATATTTGTACAGTGTTATTTCATAATGAATATAAAGTTTTGTGGCTGTGAAGCCAATTGATCACATGTTCCAGGATGTAGTTTCAGGTTGTAAACCTGTGGTTCAGATTATTTTTGTTCATATTGATAGCAGAGGTATGATTTAAGGCAGTTGCAATTTATTTTTCTACATCCTGTTTTATTAAATAGGCAATTATATGAATTTTCAATGTGACCAAAGTTATCCCAAAATTGTAGATGTAATAGTTTCCTGGTTTAAAAACATCCGCTAAAAATGCTTATCTCCCTTTTCCTGTGATTTTATATTGTAACCATGATTAAGAATTTAATCAGCAATTCTGTAAAGAAAAGCAATCACATTTCTCTATGATTATTGAATCAAAAACTATTATAAGAAAATAAATGTAAAATATTTAATCTCATATTCTCAAGTTGCAATTTTGATCTCTTTTAAAAGAAGTAAACTTCAAAGAAATACAGATTTTAAAAAATGCTTAAGCCCAACACATTATTTTTTTCCCTGTATTTAAATATTCCCTCTCTTCTTTTTCTCTCATTCCTCCCTCCTTTTCTCCATCCCTACTTCTCTCCATACATTCCTCATTGACTTCTGTGTAAAGTCCATTGCACCAATAGGATACTTCATATTAAATGTATGAACCTAAAAATGGTGGCCAGAGGATTTGTACATTTTGGTTCTTTGAACTAAGAGGTAGTATTGTGGTATGATTAGAAGTGTGTATATGTTTGTGTGTGTGCTAAAGTATGCAAAATTTCATGCTCGATGGTATGAATATCATTATTTTATATTGTAAAAATATGCTGAACAGACTTTCTTATTTCTGTAGAGCAAGGAATTAATTATATCATCTAAAAATGAAACCCATATAGTTTATACCATAGTTCCTAGCAGAAATGAATGACTTGCTAACAAAAGCTGATGTTTAATTGGCTAGGTAAGGAAAGAGTACGGGAAGTGCCTGCGGACGCATTGTTGTAGCGGCAAAAGTACAGAGAGTTCCATCGGCTCAGGGAAAACATCTGGTTCTCGGACTCCTGGACGCTACTCCACAGGCTCACAGGTAAACCATGGTCGTTAATTAAAATGAAACATCTTCTACCTATATTTTGTTATGGGTTGCTGTCCTTTCTTGATCAGCTCCAGTTTTTACCCCAAGTATTTACACATCAACCGAATAACACGCATTTAAGAAACCAATGTGCAATAAAATCATAAAATGTAGGTTCTCCATTTGTGTAATAATGAAATCAGATTGATTCAGTTGAATGAATTTTAGATCAGGAAAGGAATTTAGCACTTCAATCGATAAAAAACTAACATTTTATATATATATATATATATATATATATATATATATATCTTAATTGCATCTTTTAGCCAGTGTAATAATTGTGTATCACATACTGAAAATATTGACTTATTAAATGGTAAGTTTAGTAAAAACAGTTATAACTCATACCATATTGTTCACTAATTGAAGAACAAGTCAGGGCAGTAAAGGATACTGTAGCAGCTTATTGTTTAAACGGGTCTAAATGCTGTTCCCATCAGCCCAGCACTAGTTAGAGTGGCCGTGTTGTCCCTCACCAGGGACTCTGTAAACTTGTAGGTAACCTGGCAGCCATTTTCTGAGGTGACAGAACATCTCCAACATCTCCTGCCAAGCCCTTAAGGCAGGCGAGAACTTGCAAATTCCAAAATAGAAAGAATGTCATTGGTAAGTAGATGAGAACATGAATGGGAGACAAATTCAAAGGAAAAGTCTAAAGCCAGATCCATGAGTATTTGTAAGAGCATGCAAGAATAGACCTTATTTTGATTACTTTAGAAAGCAAGTGAGATGGCTTTTTAAAAAAGGAAGTGACAGGATATCATTCACATGTAATAAAAATCCCGTAGCTACTACGTAAACAATGGAGAAAAATCTACCAACAAGACTAAGAAGTGAAAGCTCTATCCGCCTGTTGCTCCTCTATCCTTTTACTACTGTCTAATCACTTTTTAAAGTTTGGAAGTATCTATAATCACACAATCGTGTCCGTTCACCAAGAAGTGTATAGGATTGGTGTGAGTATGTGTGTGCAAAAATCGTGTGTGAAGCATTGTCCTCCCCACTTTGGCCTTCCTTTCATTGTTGTCATTCATCTTTTATTTGCATTGACTTTTTAGGTGTATTTACTTTTATTGTATGATATTTGATATCTTCAAATGTATGTAACATGTATTAAATGAGAAGCATAGTAATAAAATGAACACTTGTGCATCAACATCCAGGTTACGAAAGAACGTTTTCCAGAGTCTGTTTTTTTTCCTCCTGAAACTTCTCCCCAATAAATCTATATGCCATTCCACCAGAGAAAAACTTCTAACTTTTGTGTTTCTTTTTTCACTTATTCTAATATTTTTCTATCTCCAAAAAGGATGTTACTTAGTATACCATTATTAATTCTTTATTTTAAGTAATACCTTATAATATGTAGTCTTCTGTACTTTGCTTTTTTTTTACCCTCCATATTCTAAGCCTCACCCTGGTTCATTCCATGAATTTTTAAGTGTTGGCTTTATGCCACATAAAACATATATGCCACTATATATGTTTTTCTTTTGCTGGCAATACTTTTTCCCTTTCCTTATTTTCATATTTAATTATTGTATTATGGAGTAGAGAGAGCTGAGTCATTAACTTCCTAGAACATGAGGTAAATAAATGAATTCAAATATGAATTATTCCACTCCCTAGCTCTATAACATTGGACATTTTCATTAGCCCGAGGGCTAATGAAGAAAAGAGTACCTATTTCAGGGAGTTTTCCTGAGGTTTCAAGAAACGAATACATAAAAACCCCATACGGTCGTACTTTGGTACTCATTGTTAATTCATTCTGGAACCAGTGACAAGTGCCAAAACTGACGAGTACCAATGATAAAGCATTTTCTCTTGCTGGTGACATGTGACTCATACAAATTCCAGCAAGTGCAAGAGTCCTGAGCAAGTGCTGAATGCCAGTGCATTTTTTCCACATAAGATCATGATGAGTACAGGGTTTGACAAATCCTGAAGCTGATGAGTACCAAGACCTAGAAGCTGTGTTATAGACCTAGAACTCATAAAGAATTGACATAAACTATGCATTATATACACCACATATGCTATTTGCCATGTACTAGGCACTATTTCAGTTGTGTGATACCTCAGTTAAAAAAAGACAAAAATCTGTTTCTATATACCCTCAAATACAGGGATAGGCAAGAGCATGTTAACAGTTTGGGTACACAAAAAACAGAATGCATTCTTGTATCATTTATTAATTGCTGTATTCCCATATGAATAATTGTATATTTATTTTGCCCCCTGTATCATGCAGATATTAGACATAAGGTATTGAACATTAAATATGAATACATGAAACAAGTAATTATTATAACGTGTGGTATTATAGAAAATACTAATGTCTATAGGAGGTAATAGCTGAGTTGAGTGTGTGCAATACAATTCTAAATAAGGTAGCCTAGTTAGGTCTCTTGGAGAAAATATGAGCAGAACCTTAAAACTGATGAAGGAGCCCCACACCTATCTATATATGGCAAAAGAACACTCCAGGCAAAGGAACAGCTATGCCAAGCCCTGCAGTAGACGCATGTTTGGCATGCTAAAAAATGGAAAAAGAACAGGTGTAGCTAGCTTAGGTAGGAGAAGCTAATAGAAAATGAGATAATGGGGGCAGCTCACATAAATGTCACCTAACAAGATCACAGTTTCATGAACTCTCAGTTACAATGTCACTTCTTCTGTGCAATATCCTCAGTGTCTAGACAAGGACATATCCCATTTTATGTGCACCAACTGAAATTTTCTTTATGTAGTATGACAGACATTCGCAAAAGTGCACAAAACCTAAGTTTATGACACAATGAATTATTACACCTCCCCTCGTTAAATAATATAATATTGGGGGCACCTCAGAAACCCTTTGAACCCTTCTCAATCATCTACCTTCAAACAGGATGACTATCTCAACCTTTGTCACTACATTTTGTTTCTCATGTGTTTGATACTTATTCACATGAAACCACCCAGAACATGTTCTTTTTTACTTTGTTTCCTTTCTCGGACATCTACATTGCTGCAGAAGCCTATGTTCCTTTTTTTAAATTTTGTTGCTTTGTAATCATTTTATAATGCATTTATCCTTTGTACCACTGATAGTCATTTGGGTTGTTGATAGTTGTGGGTTGTCATGATTAATGTTTCTATGGAGATTTCTGCACATTATTAGATGTTTGGGGTTTGCTTTTCTCCTTTGTATTTCCTAGGTTAGTATTTGGTATATAGTAAAAGTTAATTAATATTTTTAATTCATCAACTAACAATAAAACAGATGTTCTCAATACTTGCTCTCAATATCTTAGTTTGAAGCTTTGTTCCCAATATTTCATTCTGAAGCTTTGAAATATTTTTCAGTGGAGACATTCTCAATTTCTCAGTGTCTCTAATCCTATACCAGTTTTCTTATTGTGCCTTTTTTATTAGATTTGCTGTGTGTGTGTGCATGTTTGCTGACCAACAACAAATAGACAGTGTTGCTGAAGGATAAACATGTCCCTCGATTCATAAAACCAATTTCTAGATTGGGTACTCCTATTTTTCAAACAGTTTAGATATACTTGGCGCAAAACCCATTTGTGAGCTTGGTTTCACTATTGCTAGCAGTAATAAATAGTCCTTACAACTATTTATCCTTGAAAAAAACCTCTGAAAAGGTTTTGTTTCCTCCTCACAAGATTGTTAATACTCTTTTGATCCATAACTCAACAAAATAGCAAAATAAAATTAACCAGAAAAGTAGTTCCCCCCAAATGGAAAACTGCTTCACTGCTTTCTTGAATTGTCCAGCCCTTAGAATATTGAATTTGAGAATATAAGTAACTATGGAAGAATGTTCAGTTCTCTATAATATAAACTGTGAAACAATGAATAAGAATAAATCAACTCTTTCCATCTCCTTCCAAAAAAATGAAAAGTCAAATAGTATGAAACCTATAAAATAACATTGGTATTCTTACAAATTAGTGGAAATGCTAATTAAATTCAGAAGCATTTTCATAATATTCTATGTTCTTTTCTCACCCAACTCTTTCTCACAAGATCTTGAATTTTTGAACTAAATATTGTGTTAATAAAACTGATAATTTGATGCATATTTCAATATACCATTCTCATGAGAAGTACAACGAAAGTTATTTGTTTTATCTTGAAAAATAAAATGATACATTCTATCTGTGTACATTTCTGTACATCTTCAACATGTTTAAATTGGTAGAAAGTTACATTTATTCTTTTTTATAATTACAATTGTTTTAGGCATAGGCATTTAGAATTATACTTAATAAGTACCAATTATTATTAATTTAGCTTCTAATGTTCTCATGCACCTGTACTGTAAGCATGTAGAAATTGTATATTTTCCAGATGCAAAAACAAAGGTCTCATACAATTCAAAAAGGGAAAAAAAAGATTTTTGTCAAAATCCCCTGCATTGTGTGTTGATTTCCCTTTCCTTTCCCCCCATCAAGAGCCGGATCCGTAGAATGTGGAATGACACAGTCCGAAAACAGTCCGAGTCTTCCTTCATCACTGGGGATGTAAACAGTTCAGCGTCACTCAACAGAGGTAATTAGAAATGTTTTTTTGTATTTATTACTTTTGTGATTACTTTAAGAAGTTCTTAAACTCAGTGCTTTATTTGTAACTTCTGGCCCTTTTTGCATGTGGTAGGAATATTGCAAGGATATAAAACCTGGTTGAGTATAGCAGTGTGTTCCATTATTCATGAGCTTTTTTTCTTTCAATCCTGAATTTTCAGGAAATCTTTTCTGAAAGGAAGTTAGAAAACAAGAACTTTCTTTTTTCTAGTCATCTGCCACTGCTATAAACTGGTGAGCTGTCAGGCCTCGCTGGAAGCAGTGAAAATGGGCAATTATGTGGCTATATAGTCTGCTAAGCATCATAGAGTTCCACATTGTCCCACACATTGAGCAATTTCATAGTCTTTGTGGAAGTACAAATACACTGTCTTATACATACTTAAGGCAACCTGTGTACTTGGGGAGAAAAGTCGCATCTGAATATCTAAAAGACTTATTCAGATAATATGCAATATTTACAGATGTAAAAGAAAAATACTTTATATGTACATATACGTGTATGTTATAATTTTTGTTTGTGCTTCAATTAAAATATTCCTAAGGCAAAATTCAGTATTTTTAAATGAAGTTCACTTAATGTGCTATTTTGTTTCTGTTTTGTTTATGGTTGATTTATGTTTTATTCTCTCTCTCTCTCTCTCTCTCACTCTCTTATAGTATGTGTGAGAGAGAGATTACAATTAATCTTACTGCAATAAAAATGCATAGAGGCATATTGGTGGAGAACTAGAATACACTACAGTCAGTGATGGCAAATATTTAGAATACGGTATAGTTTTATCTAGGCAGGTGGGATTTGTATATTTATTCCAATCACACCATTTTAAAAGAGACATTTTTGATACATATATTCAGAAGTTACTTTATGATCAACATTGTTATTGTTTCTTACCAAGCTATGATGATCAATTTGTCTGAAACCTGTGTCTGTCAGCTTCTTGTTACATTAAAAAAATTCTACATACAAATAAATAATTTAATGAAGTTATAGCTTATGGTGAAGAAAGATTCACATGCTCATGCTCTTGAATTACTTTTACTCAAATAAGTTGTATCTTCTTTACATAAAAGAAGTTAGGACATGTAGCATCCCAAGTTGAATGTGATACAGGGGTCTATGTTATATATAACCTTCATTGACTTTCACGTTGTTTGGATACTGATAGAGTTACAATCATCTGATGATGATATTAAATAGTTGGCATCACTTTTGCATAGCTAAGAACACAATACTAATGTACCTCCAAATATGAAGAAAATATATTAAAATAAATAATTTTGTGTTTATATTTTGTTTTATTAATCTATTTTTATTTGCTAGAATATTTTGATGTATATACTATCAGTCAAGTATGCTTCTCTTTTTAACATTTAGTTTTAATTTTTTATTGTTAGTTTGTAAAATTTTATTTAAATATGAATACTTTTGACAAACTTTCAAATTGTAGAGAACAAATTACTTAAAAATGCTTCAAAAAATTAAAAAACTAATTTACTTCCATAGTTTAGATAATCCCATAGAGAGAAAATTTATAGTGTGTTTCTAGAAAGAAAACTATCTTTATTAATAAGATTATTTTCAGAAGTAACTATATAACCTAATAATTATAGAACCCATAGAATAATTATTGTTTAAACCAAAAATGAAATAATATGATTTTAAAGATGTACTGTTTATTTGTCTGCTATGCTGATGGATAAAATATGTAAAATTGTTTTGTCTAGCAAAATGATCTAAATTTATGTAAAAAGAATAAGACATTTAGCAAAACCTATTTTAAATGGTTAATTTTTATGACCTTCATTTTAAGGTCAACCACATTATATAATATTGCTGAGCCCTTTTTATATCCTTCTCAAGAATTTTATCAACTTGGAATATATAATGTGTAAATGAGTCTGATCAATTTGAAATATATTTATAGAAAATAACATTTTATATTAACTGATCTATTTTTAAAATCTTTCATTTCAAAAGACATTTCTTAAAGTTACTGAAGAAGGTAAAAAATTTCTTGTGACATCTGGTAAGTCCCCTTAATGATGACTTTGGGAGAGAGTTAAATTGAATTGATGATTGAAGTGTGTCCAGGCAGTGATCTGCCCCTTCAAGACGTATATGCTTCCTTTCACCCAGTGACTTTAATGGTGATAGACATCATAGTGATCTTCCTGATTTCCTGTACCAATTTTCTAGTTCCCCAATTCAGAAACTCCTCAATTTATCCTCATCTCATTATTTTTTTCTTAGATGGGTAGAATACTTTAAAATTTTATTTCTTCATATTATATCTCTGCAGATAGTCTTTAACCTCCTTCTTTAATCTTGTCTTATTTCCCAGGGTCCTATCTTCCCTGCATTCAGGCGTGTGTATCATATTTAGGTACGTGGCGTCCAAGATTCACCTTTCCGGATAAACACATCAGTCACCTCAGCAACATAATTATCACCTCTGTTTATTCCAAAGATCATATTCTCTATTATTAAAATAAAAATGTTAGGTACTGCATCTTTACATCTGCATATATTCTAACTTCCCATTCATTCTTAGTTTCTTACAGCTAGCATTTTTTTTAATTCAAACTCCATTTTACTTTCTAAGTTAGTTATATTAAATCTCTTACTTTTGCCTTTAGAACAGATCTGGCCTTTGAAAACTACAAGACACTGTCTAAAAATTAGTCCCATTTTCACTGAAGATTTTCTTTTCTATTCCTACCACTGCTTAATTCAGCAAAATAATGATTGTTTCAAAATTCTGTATGGCTTATCATCTATTCTTCTAAAAATTAAATCATCATTATCATCTTTGGGATCCATTAAGAATAAAGTATCTACCATGCAGTACAGATTCCTTCTCAATAGTTTTGATTTTTAAAAAACCCATTTCTATTATTCTGTTCTTGAAGAATCTTGTTGCTTTCTTATATATCAGATTAGCTGTCTACATTCCCCAATGTGATAAACTTTATTACTATTGGGATTTTACTCCTTGGAATCATAGGAGACCTTGGAAGATTATTGATCATTTTCTATTTGTATAATCATTCTTATATATTCTCTTGGGGATTTTGTTACTTGTCATCTCATCCCCTTAAAACCTTCCATTACATCTGCCCTTAGGATATCTATGCTTATGAACATGATTTCCAAATGTTTCCTATACATTTTCGAATATGTTTTTCCCCTGCTAACTTATTTGCTACTATGTTACACTCTCACACAGATCCAGAACTCCAAGCCCAATACTCTAGGACGACTATCAAGTTCACTTCTCCTATGCCACTGTATACACACCAGGTAGAAGGAGCTTTGCAAGAGACCTAAGATGATGCTTGAATACAGAGTTTCAAGTAAGGTTAACTCTGATCCAAACCCAAGTTTTCACAAACCCCACCACAGGGTTTATTCAGTCGTTCACTTAAATATTTACTATTTTCACACACCTCAAGTCATTCCTCAATCTTCAAGCTCCTTTCAGGTCTATTGGAAATCTAATCCAAATATCTAGTAGCTCCAATTTTGTGGTAGAAGTAGAAACAGTGTAAGTAAAGTCATCTTTCACCCCTGTACCCCTCACCCACAATGCCTGCTGGCCCAGTCTCCTCTTGAACAGTTTAGATTAACATTGCCTCTAAAACTCGAGTTTGACCCACAAATCAATCATTTGCTGAGAAATTTCTCTGGTCATTCAATTAATTGTTAAATAAACCTACTTTTTCATGGATCTATGTAGAAATTGGGAGATTTTCTAAATTAGAATTTATTAGGCTTTTTTTTTCATCATGAATAATGTAATTGCAATAGCCATTTCTTATTTAATCAGTTGAATTGATATCAAAAATTTCAGTATAAAATTAAGTTTTGCTAGGTCGCTGCTATCAGTATGTTATGGATGTGTGAATTACAAAAAGGTGGTCCCCACCTGCACCGCAGTGTGGGTTTATTGCAAAACCACGCCCCACCTGTGTGGCAGATTTAGCAAAAAGGCATTTCTTATTTTGGAAGGATGTCTTGGTGAGCATCGTGGGCTTTTCTTTCCCCCTACCTCTCCTCGTGCATCTCATCAACCTCCCACACAGTACAGTGTAGATTTTTACACGTGGTGAGTTGACCACTAACCCTGCACTTGTATAAGCCCGATTTAAGTCTTCTGTGGCAGAAGACTAATCTGTAGAGGTGAAGCACGTATTTATTAACACTAATGCATTCTCCTTTGGAGGTCCAGAGTTGTATTGATCTGTACCTGCATTCTCAGTGAATTCATGTAATCAATAAAATTATGATGGTCTTTGGCAAATCTTTTCATAAATTTTAAGGATAAACTTAGACTCTCAGTGGCACATTACCTACTGAAAAGTGATCTTCCTTGTTAGAAACATAGTAAATAAAAAGGAGAGAAGTGCCATCAAATAGACATTTGCAAGGAGTTGACTTATGTACAATAAATAGTTTTGAGAATGGAGTTTAACCCAGAGATTTCAGTAAACTGCTTAACTTCTCAACAGCCAAACAATAGGGGTATAAATAATTCCCACTTCAGGGGCACCTCGAGGGCACTGAGTCATTTAGTATATGTTAATTGGCTCCAACAGTGCCTGAAACATAAACGTTATTGTTACTATTTTATTCAGAAGTTTACTTAAACTTTCTACAAATGAAAACTGGTTCTTGCCAGTGTTCTCAAGTAATCAGATGTTAAAATTTATCACTCACTACTGAAGGTTTTCTTTCCTTTTTTTTATTTTCTAGTAATAGGTAGGATGAATGAGATTGTTATATGAATACCAAGTAAAGAAATAATTTACCTAAAGTGTTGCTACCCTTGATGGTAACAAAAGATACAAACTGATACAATTAAATTGTCTCTTCTAAATCAGAAGTTAATCATCTGCCTTAGTTACACGTTTCACTTCTGGTCTGTGACCCTGTTGTAGCACTTAGGAAATACAGGTAAAATATTTCTTCTCCCTGCCTTAGATAATGATATAAGCGAGCACTGTCTTCTGCTGTCTCCTTCAGGCCTTATCCTGCCCTCCAGAACACTAGTTCGATTCAGACAGCCCTGCTGAATGACCAGCTCTATAGTGGAGCAGAGCTGTGACTCATTCCCCTTTTAAACTCTGAGCCTGCATTCTCTTTCCCAGCGGGCTGGTCACTGAGACAGAAGAAACTCCACAATACATCACCTGCCACCTCATTAATATTCAAGCTACTAAGCATATTTTGTTTTTTATGTTTTTGAGGAAAAATGCAAATGAAAACATGTAAGTGGTGTTTTACTGTAATTAATTATTTCTATAAATTGAAGCTACTAGAGTAAAGCACTCCTGCTCATTCGCTTCATTAATGTCAGTAAATGCAGTTTGGCTCATATGCGTGAAATATGTCATACAGCCCCGAAGCCTTGCTGTTAGGAAGGATTGTAAAATCACTGTTTGTAAATATTAACCAGATCCTAATAGAATCAGACACCCATTTGTGAATTTTTTAACAGCAGTTAATGATGTGCCTAAGAGTCCTTGCAGAGCTAACTAAGGCCATCAGAGTGGCCTGTATGGTGAGATCCTTTTTGTTCTAAGCAAGCGCTATGGAGATACAAGTGCAAATACAGTATATTATAGCATGTATAAATGTTTTATTTGAGATTTGTCATTGTATTTATGCCTATTGTTATTTTACCTTTATATCTTTTATTCATGATTGAGGCAACGGTACCATTCATTTCTTTCCTTTGTACATGCCATCAATAAAGAGAGTCAGAGAACGTACAATAAAAAAAACACTGCATTAGGAAAACCATTTCAATGGCACAAGAGGAAAACAGGTACAGATTTTAAGTGAGATGCTGTGCCAAATAGATAATTAAACAATGCTATTAATATCCTGATTTCTAACTCAAGGAGATGGAATAATTTTCACAATGAACTCTCCTTTGAAAAGTGAAAAATATTAAATATTGATTTCTAGTCAGTCAGAGGCAAATGTTTTTGCTGTAAACTGTTAGCAGGAACTGAAAAATAAAAAGTTTTAAATGCTTACCCAGTGATTCCTTTCATTGGTTTGCTTTTAATTTTCTCTTTGATATGAATTCGTCAAAGGATCCAGCCTCTCATAGCCAGCTATTCAATAGTGAGAATCATTATTGTTATTGTTACTGTTACATCTTTCATGGATTTCTTCACAAAGAGACTTCTTTATCTATGTAGAATAAATTTCTTATTTTATCATTTATTATATTATTGCCTTATATAATTAGAAGTATTTCTTACCTCTTTGTCATCAAACAGCTACAATGAGATATCACTTATTTTTGAAATATTATTGTTGTTTCACATAAGTTTCTAAGCATGTGATAATTTAAAAATATCATCTCTTTTAGAACTTAATGTGAATACTCCAATGTAACATCAGAAATTGCTGGTATTCCTTTCTCTAATAGAATACAATTGTCCCTTTATAGTTCTTGATAAACAGGATTTCTCCTTTGGCGCGTACAGCCATTACTTATCTATTGCACACTGTTAATTATTTATTATCCATTATCTTCATGTCTATAAAGAAGTTGTGTTTGTTTTTTTTTTAGTAACTTGTCTAAGATAAGATGGCAAAGTCTAGATTCCAAACAAGGTTTTCTGACCACAAAGCCCTACTCATGATAACAAAATTTGTATTCTTTTCTTTTAACTGTTTTTCATGAATCTTGCTAAAGCTTAGAATAAAGACAGTTTTCCAAGAATTGTTTCAAAATGATTTTCATCACCTTGCATGAATATAAGATATTCTTAACAGCATAATTATTCATACATTTACTTCTTATTTTCCTTCCATTAATTATTTCCTTTCCTTAATTATTTACTAAGTATAATTCTTTAGTGTGGGTTTATCCTAATCATTTAAAGAAAGAAAAAAACTTTAAAATACTATGGATATATTGATTCACAGTCAGGGCACATGCCTTGGTTGGAGGCCAGGTCCCCAGTAGGGGGCATGCGAGAGGCAACCACACATTGATTTGTCTCTCCCTTTTTTTTCCGTCCCTTCCCCTCTCTCTAAAAATAAGTAAATAAATCTTTAAAAAAATAAAATACTGTGGATATATGGGGGGATAGATTTGCCAATACATATGACTTCTACAAAACTATTTGATATGGAAGATGCTGAATTACTGTAGATTATTGTTCAATGGTAACACTTAGGTTGCAAGAAGAATTTTATAATCATTCTTCTTTCCTGGAAGCACTCAAGGTATTTTACTGGGAAAATCCTTTTATGTTAATTTGTAATTTCTTATATTTCAATAAAAGAATGCACATTTTAGTTGGGAAAAATTTTGTTAATTAATCAGACAAGTAACTTCAGCCTATAATCCCTTAGTAATAA